CACACACACACACACACACACACACACACACACACACACACACACATACACACACACACACACACACATAATACATGCCGCACCTTTTTCCCGCTATTGTCTTTCGCCGTGTGTATATGGGCGGCGGCCGGAAACGTGTAACACCAGAGACCCCGGCTGAACGGGAACAGTGTTTACAGAACCTGAGAGTCGCTGCCGGTAATCACAAAGCTAAAGAGACAGATGCTGCTCACCATGTACGGTTGGATCGCGACGCTTCGTGGCACAGACAGGTGCAGCTGAAAAAAAAGCTTGCAAAACAGGTCTCTTCCCTGGCGTCCTCGCCAGCGCCCTTCCCTGACGAATATGGCGTCATGCATTTTGACTGTGCACAAAATAATGCGCATCAACATGGTCCGTGCTCTGACGATCTCTTGAGTACAGCTCGCAATTCGCCTGACGCTGCCACAGTCATCCACGCTGGTTCCATTAACATGACCGAACACGGCTCCATGCCTTCTCTCGCACACTGCATCGACGTGGGAGGATATGGATGTACGAAAGTACATGAAACGTGCTCAACGAGATGCTATGGGTGCCGCCATGATACACCGCGGCATCATAAAAGCCAAGAAGACATGAACCCAGCTGCTAACTTGCGCTCGATTACAGCTACATTCCAAGGTTATTCCTGGCCCCGCGGCGACCTTGCTCAGCTTGCGCGCGTTCGGAAACGGCATAGGGTTAGACTTTTGATGGTTCTACTTCACTTGATTTTTTTACGTCCTACAACGACTTTTATTCTGGAGTCTAGCTCGACAACACGATGCTTGATGCGATTCCAGCAGGCGATCCTATGTACATGCCTGTCTCAATTATTGTAGACATGTCAAATGATAACGCAGCGACGAAGAAGCTGGTTACCGAACAAGATGGCCTCAATGCTCCCACCGGTACCAGAAATGAAACTGCTTGTGTCGAACGGTCTGCTTTGTTTTCACATGCCACGGCCCCGTTGGATCCGATCGTTGAAAAGAGTGTACTACACTTGTCGGAAAACGGGCTCCAGAACGATCCGATCTTCGGAATCCAAAGCCCATCAAAGTCTGCTAACCTGTTCAACCCGGAGCTCGAAGCGAAGGTTTTCCCACACCTCTTTCCGTACAGACAAGGCCACCCTGGAAAAGGAAAACGTAGGATTCCAGACTCTAAAGAGCTCTGTGCGAGACATTATTGCAGGTTAAGCACACGCCATTTTGCGCACGATCCGACCTATGCCATGGCAACATTTGACCACCGCTCTTTAAATCGAAGATGCACTTCGTCGAACCTTACGTGCAAGGCGCATCCGCGGCTACATCAACCTATGGCTAGTATGACGACCAGTATTTTAAGCACTGGCCTGGAAAACACCCGACGATGAAAATGCGCTCTTCGGACACAAGAGACCGATCCGGCTGTGGTGCAACTATTACGGTATGTTGAATGCACTTCGGCATACGTCTGGGGCAGCAATACGGGGTGGTGTGCACGGTGGCAGGAGGCATTCACGACATGCGACCATTTTGGCCAGCCGTCTCTCTTTGTGACCCTTACTTCGAACACAGACACTTCGTTTGTGCTTGCTGGCATATGTACGCCTTCTTGATGCCGATAAATTTTGCAATGCCTTCGTTGATGATCCTCATGTGCAAATGGATGATCTTAAGCAGTTACCTATGGCGGACAATATTGCTTCTTTAGGCTCTGACAAACTGGCGCAAAAAAGTGTGGCTGAGGGAGGGTTGTTCGGTCATGTAAAACAGTTAAAAAGTATTTTGGCATGGTCGAGGCATGCTCCATATTCACACACACACACACACACACACACACACACACACACACACACACACACACACACACACACACACACATCCTACATCACTCAAAAACCCTGCGTGACAGCCTGCATGTCCACCAACCTACTGCACGTGCTCTGGGGAAATCCACTGAGCCAAGCCTTGGAAGCGGTGGGGGCGCGACACCAGGCGAGCCAAGTAGCCAAGATTCTTGAGAGGGATAGTACCTACTTCCTTCAGACAATCTGTCGCACTAGATTGCTCTGGCAATTCCCGGCCAAACTTTCGTTAGATTTCGCATCGACGGGCGTCCATGAAAATTGGAATGGTGAAGAGGAGTCTAATTAGCAAATGCCCCTTGCGCAAGGATCGCATGCCCCCCCCCAAAAATACAGTGAATGGCCCCTGAGCAAGGATGATGTACATAAATAGATATTGCACTGAGCGTCCTTGAAAGTCCTCTTCATTATTCGCCATGACAACGTTAACTACCGTCTTCCCCCTGCAAACACAACACACCGTCATTATGACTGTATCGAAATGGAACGATAAACTTCTATACAGTCATTAACAGGGTGCGGTGTCTTCGGGGGAAGCCAGTAGCATCATCAAATGGACAAAATTCCATTACCATTTGAGATAGTCTTTTTCCTAATCACCTGCCACCCATAGTCAGTCACCAACCATCACAAAGCGTGTCCCTGGTGTTCCTAGCACAAACCACGCCCCGTCTTTTTTCTTTTTTTTTTTAATACTTCCGCATGTTCACCTACGGAAACTTCATTACTTTCCTAGTCTTGAATTACACCACGGCCATAAATTTGAAGCCGGTGAAAGGAAGGAGCAAAACGAAGAACAAGAGGAAGAAGAAAAAGTCAATTCGCAGAACAAAACGAAGAACAACCAGGGAAGAGAGAGACCACTGTATGTCTGTTGTGTGTGTGTGTGTGTGTGGAGAGAGAGAGAGAGAGAGAGAGAGAGAGAGAGAGAGAGAGAGAGAGAGAGAGAGAGAGAGAGAGAGAGAGAAGAAGAAGAAGAAGAAGAAGAGAGAAAAATACTCGGCATATCATCTGTTATGGCACGGTTCACACACACACACACACACACACACACACACACACACACACACACACACACACAGATCTGCACTTAAGAGATCTGCACTTAAGAATGAGTCGCGTAAAGAAGGGAAGACGCTGACATTGGAAGAGGCTTGGCAGACCTAACGGCATATCATCTGTCATGGCGCCGTTCAAAGAGATCCGAGAAAAGAAAGCAGGGAGAGAGAAGGAGGGAAAAACGGACTTTAGAACAGGCCTCAAAAGAAAGGAATATCTGGACTCTGGAAGAGGCCTGACGGACTTAAAATGGCATATCATATGTCATACCGTGGTTCAGATAGATAAATAGATAGATAGATAGATAGATAGATAGATAGATAGATAGATAGATAGAGAGAGAGAGAGAGAGAGAGAGAGAGAGAGAGAGAGAGAGAGAGAGAGAGAGATCTGCACTCTTGAGCAAGGCTCGCAAAGAAGGAAAGATCCCAACTTTGGAACAGACATCATATCATTGAGCAAGGCAACTCGTCTCGTCAATCGAAGGAGAAAAAGACATGATGGATGCAAAAAGATTGTCGTGGAGAAGGCGTCTGTAAGTCAGAATATATTCTGCGCAATGGTTGTGGTACGAAAAGAAAACGGCGAGACTAAGAAACATCGTACCATGACAAGAACGACACACGACGCAGTGATCAAAAGTATGCTGACTCAAGCCTTCGAAGATAAAACACAGCGTGGCGATTGGAACGCTTCGCAAATG